TGGCGGTGCATGTTATAGATTATGTTCAACTAATCTATTCAATTACTTCGCACCTTAACAAAATCAATAAATATCGATATCCAGCTCATGCTATCATATTTAAGGTTATCTTATAAAGGTTCCCTTTTATCATTTACTGATCAGGAATATATCACTTTTTGGAATACCTTTCCCTGCATTGCACAGAAGTATAACCTTGATGTGTGGAATAATTTGAACTTCATTTACATTTATTATTTACATGACTACTCCAAGTGGCATAGGTTCTGCTATCCATATATATTACGGCTATTCGTAGCAGGGTATCTGCTAGTCCGGCCAAACTAAGTGCTGAGAGTCTGTTAAAAAGACGATTTCAATTGAAGCTTTTCGTTGCGTTCCATTTCACAGTTCAGTGCTAAAAGTGTCAGTTGCTCAAAAAGCGCACAGGTGTGTATATATGTATGTATGTGTGTGTGTGTGTGTGTGTGTGTGTTCAAGTTCAATGACCAGTACCGGAAGCAACCCAACTATACACACACACACACAAAAGTGTGCTTCCCTCACCTGAGAAAAAGCTTAATTACTGAGCCGCCAACTGAGGCTGAGACGTTGAAAAAGCGTTGAGTGCACTTGAGGTAATTTGATTTAATTGTGCGTGCTGCTAGCAACAACAACAACAACAACAACAGAAATATACACAGCACACCACACACTCACACACACACAAACACACACATGCACACACACTCAGCTAGTTGGTTACTTTGTGTGTGTTGTGGCCGAAGCTCATAAGAAATTTACAAGTGTGCGGCGCCTGTTTTTTGTTGTAGTTTTTGTTGTTGTTTTATTTTCTTCTTCTCTTCTTCTTCTTCTTCTTCTTCATTTTTCGCGAAGTTCACAACTCTTGAACTTTGCCCCGGCCAACCACTGGCGACTCGACAAAGAAGAAGCCTTTGCCACTTGAACTGGCTTAAAACGTCAACTGCTTGTTGTTCTTCTTTCTCTCCTTGTTTTTCTTGCAGTTGTGCTTTTGAAGTTTATTCACTGTAAAACTAGACTTGTAGGGTATAAAGCCCTATCGATAATAAATGTATATGGGATCCATTGACTACTGCAACTGAAGCCTTTTATAACTCAGTACAGAGTATCTTTAGGTAAGAAAGCAACTACAATATATGAAAATGTCATATGTTAGCTGCTTCTGCAAGATACCCTGTAAAATATGTACGGCAACAAATATGAATGGAATGTAGAGCACAATGTCAATGTCGCATAAGGAAGGCTAGATGGCCAAGGCCGGGAATTTCAATAATACAGCAATCTGGCAAGTCTTCAATCTGTTATTTAATCAATTCATCAATTCCACAATCCACCTGTCACCTATTCATTAATTTATCATTAATCTTTAACCAATACATCTACCACTCCGTCGTTGTTTAAGCACATTAATCGATCAATCCATCCATTAGTCTTTCAAGCAACAGCTCTAATTTTTATCAATCATTGATTATATGTTATACATCATACATACATATTTGTAGACGTTAACAATAGTTACTTACCTTCCACAAATCAAAGACCATAATTATTGTTGTTTTGTATTGCATTTTAAATTTTTGAAATATTCTGTGTCTCTTAAAGCCTCAATTTATTTTAATTAATAATTAATGACAATTTTGTGTGGTCTTTTTTTTTGCTTCCTATTTTTTTTTTCATTTTTTACTTCCATTTTTGTTAATAGAACTGGGTTAATTTATGAGTTAAGCGCGTTTCCGTATCCGTTTGCAATTTCGTAGCGGAAATAAAAAATAAAAAACAGCGAATCTAAGCAAAAAGAACAAAAATGGCTCTAAGAGATCTCATTCAAATCACTTCCACAAAGAGGGACTTAACATTTCAAATTACTCCAGATAATTTTATTTAATGTTATTTTTTTTTAATATGTACATGCATTCATTTATTAATTCATACGTGCAGACATAAGTACATGCATGCGGATGTACATACGAAGCATATGGACATGCGTAAGTGCATGCATATTAACATTTAAAAATACAGAATGCATTCATATGAACATGAGTAAATACATGCACATGCAAATATATTTGTTCATACGTGCATACATATATGCATGCATGTATATGTACATGCATACATGCTTTCATGCTTATATACATGCATACATGCATTTATATGCGTACATACACACGGACTTTCATAACTATATACCTATGTGCTTGCATACAAAAATACATGCATACATTCTTACATATAAACATGCATACACCTGTACATGCATACATGCAAATATATACATATACATTGATACATGTGTACATGCTTACATGTGTGTGTACTTGCATACATATATACATGTACATGTATACATGTACATATGGACAAGGCTACTAACAAACATATGTGCATGTATGCATAAGTATACATACATAAATACATACGTGCACACATAAATACATACGTTCATGCATACATGGCGTACATTAGTATCTATGAAAATGCGTACATACATACAAACGCACATGCAGACATATGTATATGTATATATGTGCATAGATGCTTACAACTGTACCTACATACCTTTATACACACACACACACATAGTTTTTTTCAAAGGGTGACATATCTTGTTATCGCTTAACACTTATATAACAAAGCATGGAAGCCTCTAAGACTTAGTTGAATTTATGAGAATCGAGGAGGAGGGCGTTATTGACAAATACGTTTTACTTTAAAATAAAACATAAATCTTCCACTATTTGCACCCTTCAAACTAGAATTCCGAAGTAGGTGATACAGACCTGAGCACGGGAGTTCTTGTAGTAATTTATAAAACTCTATCTAAATGTAAATAGATGCCGACTAGAGGATAATTCGCATTATTTTGGATAGAACACAACTTAAAACTAAACAGCTGGATGGTTGCCAAATGCCGCCCGCCATCCGTTGGCATCCAACCAGGCCCACTCCTAACTCATTGTCCCGCGGCTTATTTATTAATAATGCATGCGACTGCATTTACATACCCGACCCGACGCCCCAAAATTTTGTGGGGCGTGGCAGCCGCGGTGCAGTCACCGATTTACACATGGAAAATAAAACGGTTTCACAATTTTAGACAATGTTGCAGACCCACAGAACACAAAACGGAATACACAACACAACAAGACAAAAACAGACATTAAACCAAAAAAAAATAAATAAAAATCTACACTTGAAAAAAATTCGATGCTTGTAAGTTGAAGAAGTTCTGCAATTCCTTTTCAACAAAGCACGAATTTTGAAAAGGTGAGAATGACTGACACAAGTAGCAAAAGCTGTCTCTGCAATTAACTAAAAGGTAAAGATGATATTATTTTCGCCCATTAATGGAATGAGAAAATTGTGCAAAGATGTTCTGCAAATACTTTTTTACGAAACAGCAGTAGGGCAGTGTCATACTGTTTATGAAATTAACTAAGAGCCACAGATGTTTCCAACAGACATTCCGCTATGCCTTTTCCATCGAACGAAGACCTTGCCCAAGCGCCTGTGATTCTAAGATGTTCCCGGAAATTATGCCCATACAATATTTTATCTGAGCTAAGCTGCAAAACTAGAAAGCCAGACAAGGATGTTCCCAGAAAGCTTTTCGCCCTGGAATCAGTTATAGTTGACAAATTCAACTAAACATTTGGTAAGCCAACATAAAGCTCAGTGTGCTTTTGGCGCTGACAGTTATCAAAATGATTTTTGAATTTAAACGCTTAATTTATGCTTTAATTGCATATTTCGCGCTCCAATGCAAATAGCCAGGGCGCGATTTATGGTTGTCATTGTATTTGTATTTGCCGCACGACCAGAAAGTATGCAACGCATTTCATTTAGATAACCGCAAATATTTACCACAAATGTATTTGCATCACATTTGTAACGTGACAAAATTCCCCAGTGTTAACAGCGATCCCCCCTCCACCCTCTGCCGCAAAGATGCAGTGACAGTAAATTACGCGTGTGTACACTTGTGTGTGTGTGTGTGTGTGCTTGTGCAGGTGCACGCGTGTAGTTACAATGCGCACAAAATATTTGTTGCATACTTTTCAGCATAATTTATGCATTTCAATTGGATTTGACATCGCATCTGTGGAATTTTTACAGTTGATTTTATTTGGCAGAATCTATCGAAAATAATATTTCCATTGAGATTTGTAATTTCGTGTGTGTGTATTTTATCAAATGTAATTCAATTGCTTACGCTTCAAATGTTTTAATTTAGTTTTTATAGCCCGCTCGTTTATCGACTATTCCGTTACCGATTAATCGATTTGATTTGAAAATTGGATTTCCGTTGACATCTACTGACATTGACAGTTCAATGCACAAAAACTAAACGAGACTCTGGATTTTACCCCATCGATATTAGTTTTTAGCTTACGCAACGGTTATCGATAACGATTATTTATGTCTAGAAAATATTATCGACATATTTAGGACAATAGATAAGACTTTTAACGAGCGCTTCCTCAGTTAACAGCATACTTTACCAATTTTCTTCAGTTTATTATTCTACATAAGTGTAAAGTATATCGATAAACTCACAATTAACTATTTATCGATAAGCAAAAGAATCAATTACTTTAATCTACTTGGTTAAAAAACACGTGTAATTTTCGGCGATTTTAAGTTGTAATATTGATAAACATAATTCAAATCGATAAATGCAATTTCGATAAACGATATTTTGTGAATATTATACAACAATGCATACACAGGTAACAAGCTAATACGAAATCAACAGTTATCGATTAGTTAACCTATTAAAGTTATTTATTCCCTTTAATAATTAAAATTTGCTAACTAAATGTCAATAAATTACAGCAATGGACAGAAAGCGCAATAGATAGCTATAGATTATTGAATCTGTATTGCTCTCATTGCTTTTATGAGCAATCGATAGTTATCGGCAAGCCGCACTTTCTCAGACTGCGTGACTGTACTGGGCTAAATAAAAGGCAAATCGATGCGTTTGCGTGTTTTATTAGCGAACGTTTTTTTTACTTCAGAGGCATCGTCAACGTAGTTACCTGCCGCTGCTTGGTACCAAGTTGTCCATGATCTCTGCCAGCCGTTTGGAGCGCAACGAGAATACATTTAGCTGACGCTTCAGTATGCCATAGCTGGCCGCATCCTGGAGATTGAGTCGCACCTGGCGCTGGAACTCGGGATCGGTGCGACGGAAGCGCACAGACAGGGCCGAAATGATTTCCGTGTCGCTCATGGGCCGTTGCGAGCTCTGCAGCAGCTGGAGTATGGTCCGCATCAGATTGCGAATCTGGCAGCGCTGCTGCGGCGCCCGCCGCAGCTTGTAGCCCAACTGCATTCTACACCAGGACAGGAACTCGAGGCCTGAACTAGAGAACTGACGGCATCTGGCTGGACCGAGCAGCAGGAGCTACAGTTGCGTCCGCCTCAAAATTCGATTGGAAGAAAACGAATTTAAAAAAAAATTTTTTTTTGTGTTATTGTTATTGTGTGTATGTGTGTGGGTGTGGGTGTGTGTGTGTATAAGGGAGTGAGTGTGCCTCAAAATGTACAAAGGAAGCAGGCCTGAAGTTCTCGACTGTTGGCGACAGTTCGGGCAAGGCCCAAGCGACCGCACCCAGGCCAATTAATCAAGGCTAGCAACAATTTCGGGGGGAGTCTCGGGCAGGGCAGGCAGCTGCAATTTGAACTTGAATAACCTTGCAGCATAAAAAAAAAAGGAAACGGCGGCGAGACAACAACAACAACAGCAACAACAACAACAAGAGCAGCTGAAGCAACAAAGAGCAGGACGAGCATGTGCAGGAGAACAAGGACAAGCTCGAGGATGAGCACTGCGGATGGAAACAGAGCAGCAGAGAGGCAGAGCGAGCCAGGACAAGCATCAAGTGACATTTGAGCAAAGACAAAAAGTCATTATCAAGGCGACAGAGGAACAGCAGCAGCAGCAGCAGTAGACGTGAGGGGGACGGGAGGGGGGCAGGTTGGGGCTCGTCCTGCGACGCGACTGGCGACACATCATGCATTTTGGTTGGGCATGTGGAGCACGTGGCTGCGTTGTCGCCATGTTGTTGCCTTTTCCGGCATTTTGTTTACGATTTTTGCCCGCAATCACTAACCAGTAGATTCAACCCACGCCCATCTCCCTCTCCGCCCCTCCCTTTGCCCATTCCACTGCATTCAGCTCATCCCGCAGCTTCCACTTGTGCGGATTTCCTTCAGAGCTGAAGTTGGCGTCAGCGAAGGCAGTTTTCCCTGAACGATTTTCACTTGTTTGTGCCGTTGGCTGCTTTTGTTTCGCCTTTTTCTCTATTTGTATGCCCCATACCCAACGAAAGTGTCTAGCAAGCGGGTATACTGCAGCTCAAGACAGGGGGCATAGCATATATGTATATATATTCTTGTTCAGCCAAGTCTCTTAAGCTGTCAGACTGATTGACTTACCAAAACCCTCAAATTTCGCGTATATATTTGACTTATTTTAATTTCAAGTTTTCGATAACATTTATATATCTTACAAATCAATAGTTATCGATAAATCGATTTATAATACCCGTCTTTCAAGTAAATATTTGTGCTTTTGTGTAGAACTAGATGCGAATGAAGTAGCCTAAGGCAGTTCGCAGCTGCTGAGTACAGGGTATTTGCTGGACACGCACTCTCGAGAAGAGCATTCTTATTTGTTTATTCTTTTAATTTTTCTTTTCTTTATTTTTTAGAGAAAAACCAACTGCCCCGCCTCCATTTGCGACTCCTTTAAGCCGCCAAGTGCAATTGTCATAAAGTGTCATTGGCTGGCGACGTCGCTGTCGACGCTGGCGTCGCTTGTTCTGCGCGCGTGTGTGTGTATGTGTTGTTGTTGATGCGGTGAATCAACTTAAATGAGTATCCGTAACTACAGCAAAAAAAAAATATATATATATAAGTGAAGTGAGTGATAGAGCGAGCAGGGTTGCCACCCACTCGACAGCTACTTTTCAGCTGCAGCCGAGTGGCAAAGCAATTGGCTTTGTGCGCGATTTAGCTTTGTGTTTTTGCAGCAACCATTGATGCCGGGCCGGGCTCGGTGAACGGGAACGCCAGGGGTTTAACTAACCGGGAGAGCAATGTCGACCACTCGACGGGCGAGTGGAGCTGAGTCCATGACCAGTTGTCGATGACTCAGTCAGCCTTTTGCCGTTGCCAGCCGCAATAAGGCACCTTTCTGGCCGGGTCCTTGGTTCGAAGTAGTCAAAGAGCAACAGATTGTGACTGACGGACTAGCTGCAGACATGTGCCATTCAAAGCTAGACGCTGGTAAAGGGAAATAGGAACATAGCTAAGCTGTTTGATGTTTCAGATTTTGAGCTGGTTCTATAACTTGGTGGGCTTCTGTCATTGTAGAGGATGCACAACATTTAAGGATGAGACACAAAGCAGAAACAAAAAACATAAAGTAAGAGAGGTAGACTTCGAGGCAAACCTGTAGGGAAAATCAAATGAATGAGAGTGTGAGAGAGAGAAAATGGGAGAGAGAGTGAGTGAGAACGAGAGCGTGAGCAATAAACCACTGGGTAGGGGGTAGACGATAGTGAAACAGACAGAAGTTTTTAGTGCAGCGTTTAAGAATATGAAGATTAAAATATATGCTGTAAAGCTAAGAAACGCAGTGGAAAGAGAGAAGCGTAAAAAGATGAAAAGTCAAGCAAGGAAAGTAGCATTAAAGAGCATAAGTATATTCTCTCTGAATTTTTAATCAATTAATTGACATTACTGCAGAGCATTGCGCAACACTGGACAACTTATTGCACATGACTGTGCATTGACCACGGCTTTCGAATCAAGTATAATGCAAGAGCAAACGAAGTTACACGTTTTTTTTATGTGGAATGCAGCGGGTCAGAAAGGGTCAGCGGAGCAGTTTGAGCGGGACGGAAGTGTGGGTGGGATGACTGCGGTGGAGGTTGTCAGGTGGCGTTTGGCTACCTGGGGCCAGTTATGCGTCCACGCAGCTTCTGTAAGCGGCTTAAAAGCAGCAGCAGCAGCAGCAGCAGCAGAGCAGCAGCCAAAACGAATTATGCTGCATAGCCGCAGGCTGGCATGCAGGAGGACAGCCAACGCAGTTGCATGCAACCAATGTGAGGCAGGCAGCCAGTCATGCAACTGGCAACTGCTGGCATGTGGCCAAAGCCAAAGCAAGAGCAAAGCCAGAGCTGAGCTGCGAACAGATTGAAAGTGACAGCGCGACGGCTGCAAAATGTGTGAAGTGTGCCGTGAATGGGAAGCTGAATAAAAAAATAAACAAAAAGACATGCTCCGACCTACCTGTGGGCGGACGTGGGCTTATGGCGGGGCTCACTGCAGCTATCCATAGGCATGCAGCGGGTCGGCGAAATCTGTTTTTTTGGCAACGGCGCGAATTGAATGCTGCGCCAAGGGGCAAGCCACGCGGCAACGTAAACAATTGCTGCATAGATGCGCACAAGCAACAACAGCACACACACAAAGACACACACACACAGAGCTACAAGGCAGGAGGAATGACAAATGCCTTAGCGCTGGCAACACACAATGCCGAACTTTGGGGTTGGGTTGCAAACTGGCGTCACTTCTGATTTCTGGACGACGCAGACGGGCGACATTGAGCAATTGCCATGCATAAATATTCCCACTACACACACACACACACACACAGGCCCGCACAACCACCTGTCGTTATGAAGCGATGGTTTGGAAAGCTTATAAACATAAACAAGGCGCACAAATCAAAACAAATGCGCGCAACATGCTGCCAGCGCACATGCGCATTGCGCGCGCGCATCAACATTGTTGCCAAGCGCGGAATGTTGCGCAACATTTCGATATTGCGAGAGCACAAACGCGTCCAGCTGGTTGCACATGCGCAAACGACGCGCATTCGTGTTTAACCTAACAATCCGCAGTCAACTGTTGCCAACGACCAACAGATGCCAACGGCTACATGTTTATTTCTTAGGTATTTGTTTATGTGTGGGTAAAACAATGTTAACGCATATAAAAAGCATGACTGATAAGATCGTACGACTGACTAAAGCCGTGACTTGGTCAATATATGTTCAAAAACGTAATAGCAATCAGCATAGAGTATCTTTTTCCCAATAAAATATTACACGCTATACGAAATTATATCAATTAAGCAAATTTTCTAGATTTGAGTTTACACATTTTTAATTTTGCATCAAGAGATTTCAGTTGGCAAAGTTGGAAACTTTTAAATTTTATATTCTGCCAACTTTAAGACTTCCACAATTTGGTAACATCTGATATTTTCAGTTCAAAATAGAACTAGCGAAAAGGTAGCTGAAACGAAGCAAGGACACAAACCAAATGAGTTGAAGACTCATAGATTAAATAACCAGGGCTGCCAACTTACCGAATTCGCATTTAGTTAATATGTACTCGTTGTACTCGGTGTTTGGCGATGGGACGACAACCTAAAAAACCTTTACTAACTAGGAAGGGAAACATAAATTAATCATCTGAAATACAAGTAACAGAGCCACAAAATACCCTTCTTAAACTAGCGAACCACCAAGTTTGCCCCCCATGAATTTCACTTTGTACCTTTGTTTAAGACACTCTACAATTTTGTAGCTTACTTATGTTTTTTTTATTATTTACAATGCGGAACTTGTGAGAAATCTTAACGATGTACAGTACTACGATAAGAGTCAAATTGAGGATATTTTCCGTGTGGACTCCACATGAAAGTCTGGGAGACAGTTTCATAGATGCTCAGGCTGCTATTTTATGGAAAACTATTCATTGATCACTCGTCAAAAGCGCTCTCTAAAACAGATTAGATTAGAATCCACAGAGGATAATCTCAATTAGCTGTGAATTTAAAATAATTTGGGTGTCAGTTGCCTAAAAGCGAGGCTACCGTTGGGGCTAAGTGCACAAGGCCTGGAATAGAACTCCAGGCAAGAGTTGATATTGCAATACGGTATCAAGAAAAATTGTTGCAATTTTAGTTCGTATTTCCTACAAGAAAATTGGATGACAGTTGAGAAGGTGCTCATGCTACTAAGATCTAGTAAAGTTTGCTTGGAAACAACATTAAGGAGAATTTTATCTACTCGAAATATTTAGTGGAATATATGCATGAGAATTCATTCAATGCCTGGTTATTAAATCATTAGAGCTGAGAAAATATTTGCAAGAAGCGATATTCTGAAAAAGCGAGTCCGTTGCAGAAAAGCCTTTTAAAGTTCATAAGCCATAAGTCCATGATTCACATTTGGACTCTTTAATCCCAACTGTTTCTCTCTCTCTCTCTCTCTCTCTGCCACAGGCATTTGCATTTATTTGAAGACATTGCATTTTAATGATGCACAACGAGAACAATAACGTTATCGACATCGATAACGATAACATTTACTTTGATGTTAATGCTGATGACGCCAAGCTCATGCGACATGTGCCATGGGGCATTCAATTAACACATTGCAACTTTTTAAGTACAAGTCGATTATGTTGTCAACAGTTGTGGCTGTCAGCCACCAACCTTCTG